GAGCGGCGCCCCCCCCCCAGCGGCTCCGACACCGGCACCGCGGCAGAGAGGTGCCCCCGCCTGACCACCGCTCCCCCGGGGCAGGAGAAGCTGCGGAGGGGCCGGGCCCGGCCCAGACCGGCGGGGAGGGGAGGGGAGAGCAGAGCCCAGCCGGTCGCCGATCCTCACCGCGGCGCGGCTCCACCGCCACCGCCGCCTGCGCAACGCAGTCCCAGGCGGCCTCTCGGAACCGCGCTGCCGCCCCGCCGCTGCTGTCCGAGTCCGTGTCCGTGTCCGTGTCCAGGCCCGAGCCATCCCTGGGCGCCGCCATCTTGAAGGCGCGACAGCCGCGGGGCACGCTGGGCGCTGTAGTCCAGCCGGCCGGCCGCGGAGCATGCTGGGGGCTGTAGTCCACCAGGGCTGCCACCGACAAGATGTCCGCCACGGGCACCGCCAGGTCTTTCCGACGTGCGGTTTCCTCACTTCTCCGTGAAAGAGGCCAAGCGAAGGCTGCGCTCACAGGAAAAACAGGGGGGCTGCAGGCCAGGTCTTCCCCAAATCAAGAAAGCCTGGGAGTGAGCATATAAACAGAAGGAACCATGAGTAATGGGGTGTCGTACGCAGAATCGTGAGATACCATGAAAAAGGAATATTTACGCTGGATGTTTGTACCAGCCTCCAAAGGAGAGCAGGGCGGACGGTGCTGCCTGCGCTGAGAAACCCCAGAAGGGCAGTGAGGGGTCCCCGGTAGCCCAACCGCTATTTCCTGCTGCCCGTTCTTCTGGTTTGTGCTACTGGGAAGAGTGGTGCCCATGGATGGAAAATTGCTGGAAGTAAACACGGCTTGTTTTTGCGTCCATCTGTTGCTGAACAGCCTCCTTTCATGTGTGCCGTAGAAGAAAATATCTTAATGTTTCTCAGATGTAACAGCTCACACAAAGTAAGGGTGAAAAACACACCAATGATAACCAGAAAGCCCGTATTGCTTTTGTGTTTGTAGAGAAAGAGAGAATACTTGCCATTAAAGAATAAGGATGTGGAAGGAGTGAGTGACTGTAATAAAATTCTTAGCACTTTTATCACATTTTGTGAGATGGTAATTTCACTGCTTCAGAAATACTGACTGGACAGAACTCAAACAAAGTTTTTGGTGGGGAGTCAGACATTCTTATGTTGTAGACAGCACAAAAATCTTCCGCCACGAAAGCGTGAGCTGGGATGGGGTCCATCTGCTGTAGGAAGTTATCTTTCAAAAGCAGGTAAGAAAAGACACACAAGATTCATTAAGATGTGTAAAATGTATCAGGCAAAAAGCATCTAATTCCCCCACCTCTGGCAAGGGAAAGAAAACGTGCATCTCCTCTGCCTGTGCCTTTTGCTTTGTCCATAAATATGGAACGACAAGTTCCAAGGATAACAAATTGACCTCCAAAAAGGCATTAAAGCTTTAACTCAAAAAACGTGATGACTGCATGGGAGATGTTCTATTTAGTGCTCTTACCCAGCTTGCCTTGGTGGATCTTTCATTAGGCTTAATGATACTCTTCTGGCCATTTCCTTCTAACTGGCTGTTAGAGGCATGGGGATTTCTGTAACAGATTGCGACCGTGTTTCAGCTCAATTATTTGCCTTCACAGATGTCAAGCGGCAGCTGCTTCAAAGCATGTTTTACTCAAGCAGATCAGGCAAAGTTCAGTGTGCTTATGGGCCTACTCTTTGAAATATGGCAGTTTCCAGAGATACGATCCAGAAAAAAACAGACGAATGCATGTCACATACCAGAAATAGCTGTATGGTCTCCCACCTTTTTGGTGTGGTATTGAAAACAGAATTTCTTGGAAATGGCTCTTGCTGAATGAAGGCAAAAGGCCACAGACAGATGGAAACTCTTTTGCATGGAAATTTCAAGGAAGGAAGAGTATTCCCAAATGTCATGTAATACTAAATTAAGATACCGTTGGGTTGAAAATACAAGTAAAGCAGGGAAAACTGATGAGAAAAATACCGATAAGAGGTTCAAGGACTTGGATTCCCGATATATGTATGACTTTCATAATTAAGAATTTTAGGAGGAGGGTTGTGCGTACCATAAATATCAATGTTATGTTTGACAATCATGTGACTTAGATCATGAAAAAAGTGAATAAATCAAAGTGATTTGTTCTCATGCACACCATGAGAATGAACTGGCAACCAGGGCACAAGATTCTTCTAACTCTAAGCAATTACTGGCTACCAATTATGCTGAAGAATGATACACATATCAACATTAGAATATACATAAATATAAATTATATTTCTATTCCCATTATGCACATGATATATAGCTCTTTGAAAGCTGATTTCTTAGCTTCGGTAAGGAAAGTATTCCCTTGCATCACTTAGTGCCATTCAATGTGATTATCCTTTGCCAATGGGAGTAAATCTGAATGTCCCACCTCTGTTCCCCAGCTGAGCTACTGTTTTAGATAAGTCTGTTCCCCTCCTATTAACCTTAGCTGTAAATAAGAATAACATTGTCATTCTCTTCTTGTATACCATCTTTTTCCATTCATCCAATCTCATTCATTGCCTGTCTCTGGATCTTTTCTATTTTAAAAAGAAAACACTTGCTGTAAGTGGAACAGGGGCGCTATGAATAAGACATTATAGAAATGAATAATAGTATCATTCCATTCTTTTGAGACTTAAAACATAAATAAAATGTTAAAATTATCACTGCGCAGTGAAAATACTCCCTATGTTGTCTATGGCAATAACTGTATTTCTTTTCAGATTGCTTTAGTTATCGTATGACACCCAAACAATAAAGACTGTTCTGAGCATTACTTAATCCCATGATTATAATACCAAAAATCAACCTTTTTTTACTTTTTCTGCAGATATACACCGTGACTAGTCCAAGCTGGTCCAAATTTCACAAGCTTATCCTTGTTTTAATCAGCATCTGGAGGATATCGTTTATACCTTTGGGGCCTTGTTAAATCGGATACTACACTGAGATGCCAAATTTTTGCTTGAATGCTGAAGCTGTGCCAAACCATGCTGCTTTACAGTCTTGTTGAAAGTGAGGTAGCTTGCTTTGTTAGAGAAATTTTCACAGACAGCAAATACACTGCTAGCGTGGGTATGACAGCTTTACAACACGTGTCCTAATGCCATAAGCACGATCAGAATCTATCTTCACCTTCACCTCAACTACAAATGTTCCAGTGTGAAACACCAATGCGTATGGCAATTCCAGCCGGGCTGCTGGACAACCACTTTGACGTGGGTTTTGCCAAGCCTGTGTGCTACCAAAAGCAGTATGAAGGCTCAGTACAGCTGTGTTTTTACATCGCTGAACAATTCCCGGCTTGTGTGTTCCAACCTTCACACTCCAGCTCTGTAGTCTCAGGCCACCTGTCAGTAGGCAGGCCTCAGACAACATCCTTGGTCTTTCTGACAGGCTCCGGTGGTGCTAACCTCCCTCCACTTCTTAACTATTCCTTCGTAAGGCTTGCCTTTAGCAGGAGGCCTTGGTTTAGGATTCACCCATTCTCCACCGTGTAAAACAACAAGCAATTTTGCGAGTTTCTGCCTTGGTGTCCTCAGGACTGGTGGGGTGCCCTTGAAGCGGGGCCAAAACCCTTCAGAGTTGCCTTCTCGGTCACCTCTCTCAGCTCTGACAGCTCCTTCAGACACCAGGTCCCTCCTCTCCCTCCCTTTTGTCCCTCTCTCTGACTACGTGGTTTCTCACAGCTGTGTAAAATACCTTTATAAAGCTCTCCGTTCCCATCCTGGAGATGCTTCTCTACTCAGGTCCTAGCGCTCTGCACACACATTTGAACAGTTTCCCTCAAAGCTGCCGCCTTCCTTCTTTCCCTGCTCGGGCCGAACATTTGCTGCCGTTGATAGGAAGTTTTTGCTCTTTTCAGAGGCAGGTGTTTGGACACGGCCCCCGCAGCACCTCACGACGAGCGGGGCAGCAAAACTGCAACAGAAACAGAGCTAAAAATCACAAGGAGCGCGCAGGCAGGGGTGACGGCGGCGGCGGCGGGGACAGCCCGAGCGGTTCGCACCGAATCGGTTCCCTCGCTGAGGTAACAACCGGCCGGGGGGGGTGTGTGTGTGTGTGTGTCTGCTTCGGGGGCTTGGGAGAAGGAAGAGCCGCCCGGCAGCGCTGACCGCCCGGCCCGAGGCGCCGCCG